GGGGAATCCAGAACTGTGTACCACCTGAGCATTACTGACATGAAGAAAATATTAACTAAGAGCCAAATACTTTTGCTAGTTTTCTTTTAAACAAGTAAGATTTTCTGCCCTTCCGCTTTCATGCAAACAATTTTTGAATATGGAAACTACAATAAATAATGAAAGTGTAGAGTTTATTATAGCCGGTAGGGAAAATGGAAGTTCCATGGCCAGTATCTTCATCTGATACCCAAGTGTACGTGCGATGAGGTAATACTTAGCTCACTGCGCAGGCGCATGTTTGCATACCTGTTGCCAGCAAGCCGTTACTGTCGGTATTGCTATACAAAGAGGTTCCCCAGTGCTAAGAGAAGAGACAAAAAGAGAGCCTGGAGAAGAGATCCTACAGAAACGAGCAAAAGACTAGGGAGCGAGAGAGCAGAGGCAGAGCCTAGAGCTGAGACTGAGACGGGCTTGCTACTTGAGACTGCCAGGTGCAGGCAGGATTCTAACACTCCACCTCCCACTGTGAGAATAAAGTTTGGTATGAGCCCCTTTTACCACCAACATTCTGTTGTCATTTTTCCGTCTCACCAAATCCAGAGTGAACTTGCCAGGGCTGAAACCCTCAGGCAAGACATAGCCACTTACAATCAAGTGACTGCAGAAAATGGAGCAGAAAGAGAATGAGGGGAATAAAGCAAGTGGCAAATAGAAATGGCTAAGAGAGAAAGGTGAAGGAAAGACAGAAAATTTTTGGAAAAAAAGAGAAAGAGCAGGATTAGACTCAAATACCTTGTGACAATTTAAAATTTCACCACCGAAAGTGTCTTAAGGCCTCCTGTGCTTTCCCAACTGCAGATATAAATGGATGTAAAGTTGAGAATATCACTTGCTGGAAAAATTGGAGGTTTCTCATTCTAATCATAAGGCAATATATAGCCACTAAATATAACTGATATCTAAAATTGGTTAGAAAAATATTTGTGAATCAAAAACAGGAACCATAGCATTTAACCATTTCATGTTTTTACTGCTGTGTTAAGAAAACATGATAACAGAGGAGTATTTCAGAGTGAAATCATCTTTTCCCAAATAAGATGAGGCTGGACCCCAAAACCTCTTGGGAATAAGCTTTTATTGAATAACATATTTGCCAGTTTATACTCTTACCCCATTTCTTTTAAGTAAATTACAACCCCCTCTACCACCTGCCCAAGGTTACCTACTCCAAAATGGAGGCAGCTCTAACAAAAGGTAGCTTGGCCTTGGTAAAGTTTTGGTATAGGGCATATTTTTTACCTTGAGGTTTAGAATTCAGTGGAATAGAATAAGAACACTAATTTTTATCACCTTCTAGAAAGTTTACATGTTCTTCTTGAAGAACTCCTTTGAGATTATAATTGATGCTATTTATCCCAGATTGTATCCTTCAAGTCGAGAAAAACAGTACAAATATCTACTCTGCTAGATGCACAATCCATGTAAGAAAAATAAAATCAAAAGAAAATTATTTACCCTCATAACTTCAGGATAAGAGAAAGAAAGAAATCTGACATACCAATAGTTTTCAGTAAATTCACAGAATGAACAGGATCTGTAATGGCAAGGGTCATGCTAAACAGTAAGCAAGACTGAAAATCCCAGGAGTCATCATTGAAGTTCAGAACCACATATCCAAGTATGATGAATGCCATAGAGAAGCTAATTATTCCAGTTAACACGACCTGTGAAACCAATTCATAACATAACACAGTATTAGGTTTAATACCTAAAGATGGCATCACTGCACTTAATTATGTAAGAATCATATCCTGGTTATTTTTTTTTAATTATTCTGGAAGATAACTTGAAAAGGCATTCTAGTTTACCTGCCTCAAAGAAACCAGCCCTCCCAAAAAAGGATTCTACCTTATTATCAAAAGACCAATTCACCAATTTTTCTTGTTGCTACTCCAGCTTAAATAGTTCTCCATAGCAAAATGTTCCTAAAAGGGAATGCAAATAAATTTCTGCTGCTTCTATGTAAAACATTTTCTGGTTCCCCCAGTGTTGATCTGTAGGGCACTAGGCAGGAAGAAAGGTAAAACAAGGGCAACAGTACAGGCCAGCTTATTTGGTCCCATTATTAAGGGCTCTCTTGAAGCCTTATTCAGCAAACTTTTGTATGCATTTCATCAGCCAAACTGTTTGCAGAGGCTACCACATCTATCAGGGATGCTGGAAGTGGAGTATTTCACACCAGATGCACTATCATACTAAACAAAAAATAGCTAGGTTTCTGTTAGTAAGAAAGAAAGGGAGACTGCCCACTGGACAGGCAAAAAAAAAAAGTAAAACTTTTTAAAAAGCAGAAGGAACAAAAAGGATAAAGAAAATGGAATCAACTTGACTGAGAAGGGAAGAAAGAATTGAGGAAGAGTAGGGACATGGAACAAGCATCATGATTAATTTTTTCTGACTATGATGAAAAATGCTGAGATATAAATAGTAACAGGAGGGACTCCATCTTAAGGCTCAGTTCCACTTTTTAGAAAAAAGGGAGTTAGGACGTAAGATTCTTAAGGTATTGTGATTATCCAACAACTGACCTATCCTAAGGCAAGGCAAGCAGTTCTAAATGATAGGTTTTCACTTCTTAAGGGTAACCATTATCTTGGAGAAGAACAAGACCAATAAATTTCTTGTGCTAAGTTTATCTTAGAGAATATCTAGAGGTCTGTGATGTCATAGTGTCTCTCACTGGAGATAGACATCATGAGACCACACATCAGCCTATGCTCCCTGGCCTTTTACCCCATTCGTGAAAGCCTTAAAGAATCTTAAGCCTTTAAGCACACCTCTCCTCTGGGGCTGCCCACACGCCCCTTCCTTTGGGTGTGTGCTCTGCCTTAAATAAAACCTTCTTGCTGCTCAGCTTACTGCATTTTGCCTCCATGTTCTTTCAAGTCTGTCAGTTAATGAGACCCCTTTCCCAGGGGTAAATGTCATTGCTACCTCACTACTTCAATTTTCTTTACTTAAACACAAGTGTTCTCTCTCTCTCTCTGTTTTACTACAGACAAGTAGGGGATGGCTACTGAGATCTCCGATTTGGGCTTGCAAGTTCCTGTCTCTTGGGTGACCTGGGCAGAACTGCAGCTATATGATCAGTCGTGCTCTTTAGCAGCCTGCCCCAAAAACTCCTTTCTTAGCTTTGGGAAATTCTTAGAACTTCATCTCACACTATCCAGCACTCCACGGCTCCCCCAAATCCTGGCATGGTAGGGGCTTAATTCCCACTCTGTGCAGAATCAAGCAGACATGATACCAGGTGACCCTGGCTTTAGGAGTTGGCAAAGGATTTGCCTTATTCTGAGCAGGAGTTCAGTGAATTTTCCCTTTCTCCTCTGTTCTCCCTTGCTCTCTACTGACTACATGGCTGCACAAATAAAGGAGCCACTTTTCTTGGCACTGTGCATCTCTGACATTTGTTACTACTTTCGCTTTAATGAATTCCTTCCTTACCTACTCTCCTCCAACCTGTTCGAGAATTCTTTCTCAAACAGAGTTAAGAGCCCTCCCCCACCCAGGTTAAAATTTCACCTAGTGCACAGGGACACCTCCCTAGACACAGCTGCCTGGTAAGAGAATGAGAAAAAGCAAAGGAAAAGCCTGGTAAATACAAAGTACAAAATTATATGCAAGAAACAAATACACATCTATTGCTTTTGATTTTTAAAATTTCATTTTAGTTACATACAGTAAAATTCATCCTTTTGATGTAGTTATGTGAGTTTTGATGAATACATATAGCCATGTAACCATGACCACAATTGAAAAACAAAATAGATCCATCACCCCAAAAAGTTTCCTCATGCTACCCCTTTATAGTCAATTTATTCCCCCAATTTCCAGTCCCTGGTAACCAAGGATGGTTCTCCAAGTCTATAGTTTCACATTTGCTAGAAGGAATGTCTACAAATGGAATTGTACAATATGTAGCCTTTTGAGTCTGGTTTCTTTCTCATGGCATAATGCCTTTGAATTTCTTCCATGTTGTGCCTATTAATACTTTGTTCATTTTTTATTGTTGATCAATATTCATTCCATGTAAGATGTGCCACAATTTGTTTATCCATTCGCTGGTTGAGGAACATTTGTTTCCAGACTTTTGAAATTATGAATAAAGCTGGTGTAAAGATTCACACAGGGGTCATAGTTTAAACATATGTTTTCATTTTTCATGGGTAAATACATAGAGGTGGAATTGCTGGGTCATATGGGAAATGTATATTTAATTGTATAAGAACCCTCCCAAACTATTTTCCAATGTGGCCATGCCATTTTGTGTTCTCGCTGACAACATGTAGCAGATATAAACTCCCCACATGCTCACTAGTATTTGGTATTATCAAGTTTGTTATTGTTTCTGTTTTGGCTTCTTATAGCTTTATAATTTGTATTTCCCTAATGATTTATGATGTTGAGCCTCTTTCCAAGTATTTATTTTCCATTCATATAGCTTCCTTGGTGTCTCAAATCTGTTAAAACCTTTTGCTCTTCTAAATCTGTTTAATCACAATAAATACTAAGTTAGTTTTTAAAAACAGCAGAGATTTTCCACCTGGATAAAATAACAAAAGCCATTATCAAAGGACATCTAACATAAGGACATCAAAATCCTGAAAGGAAAAAAACTTACAGCAGGCAAATACTAAACAAAAGAAAGCTGATGTAACTATAATAATAGCAGATGAAATTGACTTGAGGCAAAAGCATTATTTGGCATAAAAGGGTTAACTAAATAATGAGAAAAAAATTAACCAGGAAAAAAACAATGCTTGTAAGCACTTAATAACAGAGTAAATAAAATATATAAATATAAAATAAAATTTGTAAAGTAAAAACTGATAGAATTGCAAGGAGAAATTGATAAATCCACAGTCATAATGGAAATTTCTTATATTGGGCTAAAAAACAATATTGGCAAACATACGGCTCTTTCATCTACACTGAAAATATGATGTTTAGTGTAATCATCTTCATGAATGATCTCAGCTAGATCTTCTGGATAACTGCTTGTAGCTACTACAGTAGCTCTTGCTGCTTCACCTGTACTTTTACGTCATGAGATGGTTTCTTTCCTTCATCTTCATGAACCAATCTTTGCTAGCTTCATACTTTTCTTCTGCTGCTTCCTCACCTCTCTCCTGGCCCTCACAGAATTGAACAGAGTTAGGTTTTGGCTTAAGGGAATGTTGTGGCTGGTTTGATTTATCCTGACCACTAAAATGTTTTCTGTATCAGCAGTAAGGCTGTTTCACTTTCTTACCATTCATGTGTTCATGAATTTGCACTTTTAATTCCCTTCAAGAACTTTTGCATTTACAACTTGGCTAACTTGGCTCAAGAGGCCCGGCTTTTGGCCTGTCTTGGCTTTTGACATGTCTTCCTCACTAAGCTTAATTGTTTCTAGCTTTTGATCTAAAGGGAGAGAAGTGCAACTTCCCTTTCAGTTGAACAGTTAGAGGCCATTGTAGGGCTATTAATTTGCCTAATTTCAATACTGTTGTTTCTCAGGGAACAGGGAGGCCCAAACTGAGGGAGAGAGATGGGAATGGCCAGTAGGTGGAGCAGTCAGAATACGCACAACATTCCCAGATTAAGTTCCCTGTCTAATATGGGCTCATTCCAAGGCACCCCAAAACAATTACAATAGTAACTTCAAAGATCACTCACTGATCACAGATCACTGTAATAAAAATGGTAATAAGGAAAAAGTTTGAAATAATGTGAGAATTACCAGCATATGACACAGAGACATGAAGTGAGCAAATGCTGTTGGAAAAACGGTGCCAATAGAATTGCTTGATGTAGGGTTGCAACAAACCTTTGATTTGTGAAAAATGCAAATCTGTGAAGTGCAATAAAGTGAAGTACAATAAAAGAATATGCCTGTCTGTAAAATGGAGGTGATATTTAACTCAGTGACCAGTCACAGTGGTCACTGAGCAAATATTCATTCCTTTCCCTCTCCTCAACTCCCTTTAAGTATTTGTTCCACAGAATAAGGAGGATAAAACAACTAAAACTGTAATTTTCACATCATTAATCTTCTCTATAGACAGTCACATTCTCTGTCAGCATGAATAAGCAAAAACTGACCATAATTTGTTTTAAAATGTGTTCTTACCTGCCGAAACACATTCTTGAGTACATAGAAGTCCACATCCAAAGCAGCCATAAATATAATTAAGGGTGAAAAATAACAATAAAGTGAAAAACTTGGTGTTTTTAGAAGAGGGTAGACAGTTTGGTGCACCTGAACTAACAAAAACAAAGAAGAAATTAGTTTGCTACAATATTGAAGTATTAGAGATTAGGTTGATGCTATGTCAGTCAATATAAATTTTAGAACACTCCAATTTGCAGCTAGTAAGAGATTATCTATAAAGCCAGTCCTGGAGTCTTGTGGTAGATTTCTTGATCTAACTGTCTGGAGGAGTTATATGGATAGTCCTCTATTCACCAGATAATTGTGTGAGTTTGGGCTACATGAACATTGCTTGTAATAAGTAGTCAGTGTTTTCAAAAGAAGTACTCCTGCCATTGGTGACCCACAGGATTAATTTAGGTGGTTCACAGATAAGTATTTTTTATTTAACTATTAAACATTTATTTTTATTTGCATTAAGAGGGATAAAAAAACTTGTAAGGTATTTGTGATTTCAAAGACATTTGCTTAGGGTTTTAAAATCATTCAGTGAGCCATGTAAAGAAAAATAACATATAAATAATTGTACTGACTGGTGTTTATAGGCAATAAATCATGAGGATTGTACACAGAGGAGTGGAAAAGATAGCAACAACGATTGAAAAGCTATAAATATTCTCTCCTAAAAAGTTTTTGTCTCAATTAACAGTTTAATCTTCATTACTTAACCTCTTGGTGCCCCAGTTTCCTCATCTGTAAAACAGGAACCAAGTACCTACGTTCACTGGGTTGCTGTAAGGATGAGTAAATTAACTCAAGTCAATAATAAGTTAATAAATTAATGAATACAAAGCACTTAAAAAAGGAGC